TGGGCTCTATGGGGCAACAATGAAATCCTAATCGGTAGATAAATCTATCTCGCCAACAAGGACCAAGTTGTTTTCCATCATTCATCTCTAAAAAAAACAAACAAACAAGAGAGCATCTTTTTTCCTAAAGGGAGGAGAGGACCTTTTCGCATCGTCCAAATGCTCATAAAATGTTGTAAATTATTATTATTATTTTTCATTTAAAACATCAAGAGTGTTTTATGAAGAGCTGGGTGGAGAGGCCGGGTGTGCTTCTGCCAGCTCAGCACTCCCTCCTCCTCCTCCTCCTCCCCCCCCCCCTATAGCAGCAGCAGTAGTGTGGTAAACAAGTACGGAGCTGTCAGTCAAACGGCAGACTCCAGCAGGAGGAGACCGGCCTAAACCGGTGCGAGCAGCTTCACAGCCGCTCTGCTCTCATTACGCAGTCACTGTGCGACACCGCAGATTCACTAACGAGACTGATCCCTACACCGACTGCAGCGGCTTTCGACCGGTTTATCCAGCTCAGCGTCACAGGAAATGTTTTATAAAAGAGCTTGTGGCGAAATTAAGCTTTGGTTCAAGTATCATTATTGGTGAAGGACGTTGCGTATCGTTTTATCTGCAACAATACATCTCAATTTAAACCTCAGCTCTTGTGATAATGCACTATTTGTTGTAGGCTGACGTTACAATTTGCCCTTAACATGCAAAATGCCTGACAGTATGGCGTCATGACAGCTAGTCAGTTCACCTGCTACACTTCAGACGGCTGCTGCAGAGTTCACCAGAAACTAGATCGCCATTAAATGGTGAGCAAAGATGCTGCAGATGGACAAAAACCACACAGCTGAACCCAAACCATTAAAAAAAAAAAAAAAAAAAAAAAAGGCACACATATACATACAGAGGCGCTCACAATGGGTGCTTTCTACTATCAAACACATCCACCATTCTGCGGATAAAGTTACGCAAATATGTCCGAAGCACAAACGCTGCTGACAATAGAGCGATGCATCGTCATATTCCAGCAAAACACACATATGTGTGCAGAGGAAACGTATTTTACAATCGAAGAAGAACGAAAAAAACCATCAGCTTTGCAGCTCTACTGCAGTTTTTTAAAAATATATTCAGATTCAAAACTACAGGTCCTGCTGTCGATTTCTTCTATTCTGCAGGTGTTTTCTTAATTAAAAAGTTGCAGAGTCTTCCGTCACTCTCTGCAAGAAAGGTGATGTCATTGGCCACACATGAGCACCTCAGCCAATAAACTCACGCGTGTGGGAGGGTCGTGCGCTTTGCTCCGCCCTCCCCCTGGTCCAGTTTTCTGAACAGGATTGAACCGCTTTGAACAATGGGTGGAAACTTAAGAAAAGCTACAAAGAAACGCCATATACGATGCGTTTCTGCGTTGAAAATGTCTCACAAAGCTGCAAGTCCATCACTGCAAATCATTACTCTACGGCTCTGTGTCTCGAAAATGTGCTTTACACTCGAAATACTGTGAAAAATACAGATGCCCGAGCTGCTGTCATTCATTGACACCTTGACACAAACGAGTAAAGATGGAGCTCTGTGGAGACGATGTCACGTATGTCCATTGTACCAACACCATCAATTAAAAGACTACACTGTGCAAGATAACCAATTCAAACGGTGTATATTATGACGTTATTAGCACCGTTTCTGCCGTTCAGGGCTACAGCATCCTCCAGAAAACCTGATCCTCAACCAGCACAAAGAGCATCTTACAGTCAGTTCCTCTAAAACTTCAGAATATCAAAAACACACCCTCTTACCTCTCTCGTGCCCAATCAAAATATCTTTGTGATTTAGATATTCCACTTCTTCTGTGTAGTTTTGCGTGTAGGCAGTGTTGGATCCAGCGTTTCTAGATTCAGTCCAACGAACTTTCGCAAATCCTTTTGCGTGGATTTTGAGGGATTTCACGCGGATTTCTCCGGTGACTTCGATGATCACCCTCCCTGAGACGCAGTCCCCGCTGGAGAAGACGGGAACATTGCTGTCATTGAGACAGTCGTAGCTCACTGTGAAGCTCTTTACCTTTCCTAGCACCATGGTGGAAAGAGATACAGAGACCTTGAAATAAAAAAAAGTCTATGAAAAAATAATTTCATATGAAAAAAAAAAAAAGGGATGCAGTCTTTAGACACTGATCAGTATCTCTGCCCTGCAAAAAGCAGGAGGCACGGATCAGTGGCTTCTGTGCGAGCAGTTCATTGAGATGTGTGATGGCTGAATAACAGCAAAGGATGCTGTTACCGTCCGCCTCTCTCCTCGTCGGTCTCCAGTCAAAGACAAGGAAACCCCCGTAGCTCAGCTCACTTTAAGCGACGGGCTGCGTGAAAAACAACCTCGAGCGCATGCGCAAGGCTCCGCTTGCCCCCTCCTTCCGCCTTCTGGAACAAGGCAGAGAAGTGTGGCACTGAGCCAGATGACAAGTTTGGTCAAACAGCTGAAAGACTGCACTAAAGAAATAATCACCACAATAGTGTTAGAGGTGAGACTTCACGAGTCGTTTGCTCTATTGCAAATAAACGTTTACATCTACCTGGAAAGTCTAACTTTTAGCGATTTCCAGGTTTTTCATGCAGATATTGATTTAAGGAACTATGTAACTGACTGCACTAGAAACAAAAAATACACGATTCTACTCTTCATAATATATGGTTATATGATAACCATTCAAACACGGTGCATCACCTCTGAATATTTATAGGCATACAGGCATATAAGTGTCTACACATTCATCTGTGATATAATCCACACATATGGCCTCATCTCACATATATCCAGGCACACTACAGCCTCTACATCCCTGTGCAATCAACATCAAACAACTGCTGAAATGTGCGCGACTCCTGCAGCATAGACCATGTAGAATCGCAGGAATACTGTGTATTCCTGCGATTTGAGGACGAGCAGACTTCTAGGAAAGCTTCCGAGTTATTCATCTATATCTTGTTTTTGTGTTAAGATTAAAATGGTCCATGCACATACGAGGGGGGTTGGGATTTCTCATTGTGTTGGACTCACAGTTTACAGGAAAAACGACTGTGAGGCTCAAAACGCCATCTGGTGGACCACCAAGGCGTCTGAAATGAGCTGCAGCATCACCTGTTGAACAGCACGGAAACTCATCGCGCATTGCTTTCAACAAACACATTCGGACTACAAAAAACGACCATTTGAATTCCAATTTATTTTGATTATTTACGAGGCGCCAACATCAATTTAGCAATAAAATGTGCCCATAATGAGCATTGATTTACAGGTGGGTGTATAATAGCTGTGGAGGTCCGTGTTTGCAAGATCCTCATAAAGCATCAACGATTACAATTGGATGGCGATTGATTAAAACCCGTAAAGAAAACAATTAAAAACCAAATCATATTCCATTCTACCTCCTATAATTCAAAAAGTGTATCACGCGCAGTCATATTAGTTTCTATCTGATTTTCATAATTTATTAGCAAGTATTATAACACGATATTTACAAACATATACATCTTTGTGATAAACAATGCGCCAGTAGTAGCTGTAGTTGAAGTTGTGGTCATGACATAATAGACAACTCAACAAAATTGTGCAGCATAGATGTATTATTAAAAGATGAGTGCTGCCCTCTAGAGTTCCCAGTTTATCATTACATGTAAATCATCATCATCATCATCATCATCATCATCTCAAATTAAACTAGAAAACTCTTAGTTTGAAAGCGTAACCAGGATGTTTACCAAGTCCATACGACTCGAGAGTTACAGTCACTTACAGACGAACGCTGTCCGGAAGTCTCACCCGGTGCAGAGAAATCTCTTCTTTTACGACAGCTAATCACCAAATCGGAAGGGGAGTGAAACGCTGACATGAAAATACAAATGTTTGCTTTGATATTCCTTTGTCAACTTTATGGTCAAAGTCTGTGCCAAAATGGAACCAGACCCAACATCGTGATGGTGATGAGTGATGCATTTGTGAGTCTGAATGAAGTTACAGTGCTTTGCAGTAACTGCCTCAGTAATAGTATCTTTTGTTTGTTTTAGTCTTTAGTCACTATGCAATGACAGACCTATAGCTCGAGGAGATTAAACGCCATACAGAGATGTTTATCTTTTAAAATGTAGTCCTTGTTTGACTGTGTACCTCTGTGGCTTTGGGTCTAAGTGTTAGTTTTCCTCTTTCTGCAGGATGGCCGATTGACTTTTGATCCTGGCAGCAAAGTTGTGCAGCTTCCATATGTAAACTACCTCAGGGAGCTTGGTACCACATTCCTCAACGCTTACACCAACTCGCCCATCTGCTGCCCCTCAAGAGCAGGTAAACGAAAGGCACTGGGGAGCAGGTATTGTGGTAATTATTAAAGGTGGAATAATAAATGTATTTCAGCTGTTTAATATTTGTTTCACAGCAATGTGGAGCGGTCAGTTTGTTCACCTTACTCAGTCGTGGAACAACTACAAGTGCCTTGATGCTAATGCAACAACATGGATGGGTGTGCTGGAGGCAAATGGATATCTTACCAAGTCGATGGGCAAGCTGGACTACACCTCAGGGAGTCACTCCGTTAGGTAGGCAGCCACTGTCACTGTATCTCAGATGAAAAAAACAGCTTCACCAACCTTGTCTCATCTCTATTCACCAAACTAAGATTAATAATAACACATACACTCAAAAGAAGCGTTGGTGACTAACTGTATGAGTAATAAACAATAACATACTGTGTCTGTGGGCAGCTATTTGTCAGAGCAGTGTGAATCATCTATTTGGGTCCTTGTCCTCTCCTGTTTCTTTCCACTTCCTATTTTTTAGTTGTAAATCAATTGTTTGTGCAACTTCTGCAGTAATCGAGTCGAGGCCTGGACACGAGATGTTCAGTTTCTCCTGCGCCAAGAGGGCCGACCTGTTACGCAACTGGTTGGGAACATGTCAACAGTGAGGATCATGGAAAAAGACTGGGAAAACACAGACAAGGCTACACAGTGGATCCACCAGAGAGCTGCATCCTCACACCAGCCCTTCGCACTTTATCTTGGCCTCAATCTACCTCACCCCTATCCAACAAAATCCCTGGGGCCCACCGCAGGAGGATCCACCTTCCTCACCTCACCATACTGGCTGAAGAAGGCATGCTGCTTTTTTTCCTCCGCTTCTTGAATGTTTTCTCTCCATTATTGCAGAATCACATTGTATGTTTTTATATGAATCACTATAAAGTCTTATGTTCTTATTTTACACTCACAGGTGTCTACTGAGCTCATCACTGTTCCTAAATGGCTGCCTTTTGCTGCCATGCACCCTGTCGACTACTACTCCACCTGCACCAAAAACTGCAGTGGTGTTTTCACTGAGGAGGAAGTCAAAAGCATAAGGGCCTTCTATTATGCCATGTGTGCTGAAGCAGATGCCATGCTGGGTTAGTTGACAGAAGTAATTCATCAGGAGACGGACTCTCCCAGCAGGAGGTAGTAGGTTTGACAGCTAACTTAAAGCTTAACCCATGTCTTTCAAATTGAACAAAGATGGCTCAAGTTCAAACCAAACTCTGTTGCTAGTTAATGAAGCAGTACCAAACCTGCAAGGAGCCGGTTTTAGCTCAGTTTCACAAAAAGTAGTAACTAACGTTTAAAGGCACAATGGAGATGGTAAGTATATTTATATATGGATATAAACATGTTCTTACATCTCTACCGCCACTTAATGTTTGAATGAAGTCTTTTGAGCAGCAGCTCAGTGGTTACTCTGTCTTCACCAGGCCAAGTGATATCAGCTCTGAGAGAGCCGGGCCTGCTTGACAACACTGTTGTGATCTTCACGGCTGACCACGGAGAGCTTGCCATGGAGCACCGGCAGTTCTACAAGATGTCAATGTTTGAAGGCAGCTCCCATGTTCCCCTGCTGGTCACGGGGCCTGGGCTGATGTCCGGCCTGCAGGTCAACGAGCTTGTGTCCTTGGTTGATCTCTATCCCACTGTGCTGGGTAAGGAAGTAGACAGAAACATGGGATTAAAATGTCTATTAAAGATTTGAAATCATTAAAATGTCTGTTTAAAGGTAGAATAAACGTGATATGGTCGTCAAGATGTGGAGGGATTTGGACTGTCTGTAAAAGCAACATAATAAAAGCACAAGTAGATTTAGATTTAAGTATTTTAACTCGATGTAACACACTTGTGTTTTTTGCAGACATTGCTGGTATTCCCGCAGTAGGTGTTCTCAGTGGCAACACGCTCCTTCCTCTGCTATCCAAGGCCAGTACTTTTTCCAAGAAGCAACATCCAGACTGGGTTCTGAGTGAATATCATGGTTGTAATGTCAATGCCTCTACGTACATGCTGAGAAGTGGCCGGTGGAAATATATTGCCTATGCAGATGGACTGAGTGTCCCCCCACAGCTTTTTGGTGAGTTCCTAACTTCAGAAACTAAACTTCAATCACTCAATCCTCCTATGCTTTCAAGAAGAAAACCAAATCTTAAAACACTGGCACCGTTTGATTTTTCTGTACTCTGTGTTTGCAGACATGACGCGGGACAAAGAAGAACTTCATAATGTAGCTCTCAAATTCATAGATGTGCAGGCACATCTGGACAAGCTATTGCGTAGTATTGTAGACTATCCAGAAGTCTCTACTACTGTGCATCTCTACAATAAAAAAGCATTTGGTGGCTGGCAACATAGTTTGGGGAGAAACTACAGCCAAGTCATTGCTAACCTCAGGTGGCATGTGGATTGGCAAAAAGATGCATTAGCCAATGAGAAAGCTATTGACAGCTGGCTCTCAGACTCGTTGTGATATTGTTTTATATTGTTGTAATGATGGTTATCTTTAAGGAGTCTTTTTTTTAATGAGCTGGACTCAACCTTTGATTACACATGGGTTATCTCACATCTTTGACAACGTGAGAGACATTGATGGATGACTATCGCTCTTAATTTTATTTATACTCAAACAATTTTATTGTTGCATAATCTATTACTTGCAATGTACTAGGTTCACACTTTGACTTAATCTGGATTTTTATTTTTATATTTCACATAAACTTTCAAAGGGACTTAAATGTAACATAACCATGACCTGACTACATTCAACTATTTCCATTGTTCAATTATTTTCTTTCCCTAAATAAATTCATATTTAGTTCACTTTTCTTTTGTCGTTTTGTTGTCTTTGCTTATATCTCAAGTGGACAGAAGTGCAGGTCATTTTATTTTGAAAATCCAAGGGCGGATGTAGTCACTTGCCTTTCACTTCCGTGTCGCCCAACAGGAGCAGAGCCACTTCTCGACGTAAACAGTGG